CCAGGGGCATCTCCCACTATTTCTAGGTCACTCCCTTCTTCATCACTACCTGACTCTTCCCAGGGGTTCCAGGTTTTAGGGTCCCAGGATGGGCCTTGTATTATCAATCTGACCTGGGCTTTTTTCCCTTTGACCTCCTAGATGTAAAAAATGGCATGCCAATCCCTCCATTTTCTCTCTTATTTACCAGCAAGGTTTGAGGCCAGTACTGATGAAGCCTGCCTCATATCCCTCTCTTGCTCTAATTCCTTTCTAACCCTTCAGTTTCCCTCTGAGTTAAGGCGTCTACTCGAGACAGATTTCTTATTACCGATAGCAGCAGCCAAGCAGCAGAGCGGCCACTTGTTGATATTCTGTCCCTGGTGTGCTACTCCAGAGCTTGCAAAGTCTGTTCTAGACCTGCTGTTTTCAAGTCATCTCCATACGCACATGGTGGCTCCCACCAGTCAAGCAGGTGTGCTACCCTGGGATTTCCCCCATTGACCTCGTCTGCTTACGTGGCCTCACCCTACTTACTCATCTTAACCATGCCACTGCAGTCACCCCCACCAAGCCTGTGGGGTTAATATTTCCTCGACCCACACTGCCCTCACCCCACTCTACTTGGGGTGTTGGTCTCCTTCCCCACATCAGGGACCTCACCATTGTTCTTCCCAGCTCATGCTCACTTTTGTTGTACACCGCCAGCTGTGCCAGTTGTAAGGCCAAACTCTGGGAGGCGTACGTGGGCCAGGGAGAGAAATAGGCATGACCTTCCTGGGTGGGATAGTCACAGAAGACAATGGCCAGTGGAGATTGCTGGTGTCGTTAGGGATGTTGAGAAACAGCCATTTGCACTGTTATTTGAAAACAGATTGCTGGCAGACTCAACACAGTTGTGCAATTAGTGGCATGGGAATTAGACAAGATGCAAATGCAGGCTAGAAATTGTGGCTGGAGGTACATGTGAACCAGGGCAGCGAGGTGGGGGCACCTAGTATGTGCCCCTCAGACTGAGTGCATCCTCCAGGCCATGTGGCATGGGCAGAGCCACTCCATCTTTTCAACATTATTTCTCAAACTAGGGTTGTTGGTTGGGAGAAGGGTTTTTGATCCATTTACTCTTTGTTTAAGCCCTGAACAGAAGGACTTATGAAGCCTGGGTCTCTGAGTGTAATGGGAAGTGACAGATGGGTGGGTGCTAAGGAGTGCTCACCTAGAGCACTCAGGCTTGAAGAGAAGCTAGCAAGATCAAAAAGAGAAAGCTCACTGAGTCACCAGGGAGAGCAGGAGGAGGGGCAGGAGGCAGGAACGGTCAGGTCAGGGAGTGTCAGCCGGCCGATCAGATCGGGGATTGCACAAACACCTGTGGACAGAACACCGTGAGGCAGATGGAGCGCACTCCAGTTCCAGGAGGGGCAAGGGCCGTCCAAGGCTTCTAGAGTTCTCATTCATTCACAGTGGGGAGTATGAGTCACCTTACCAAAAAGGATGGGCCTTTGTTTATTTCAAGAAACTCAAGTGGTGGGTGAGGACTCTGCAGAATCTGCTGCCTGGCCACAGGCCCAGAGAGGTGTTTCCATGAGGCAAGAGCAGAGGCTTCCCTTCCCAAGATGCTGATTCTGCCAGGCTTCAGAAAGGGGAGCAGGCGGGGAGGATGGCACTAATTGCCAGTGAGAAGCAGGCTTTCAAATTAACCTGCAAATGGAGAGCTGGTGACCTCTCTCCATCTGACCTAATCCTGTCACCACGGACAGGTGACACCTGCAGATGGGCCCAAAGAGGGACTGTTATATGAAGGGAAGGGAGGAGAGCAAGTAAGGGGAGGGGAGGGGCTGCACAGGGCATTGGCTGCAGGAAGAGTCCACAGGAAGTCCATGGCCAGGACAGTGCCAAGTGCCTACCTCTAAGGAGACTCAGTCTCTGCCAAAACAGACCTGCCCAGGACAGTGCGTGGGTGCATTCAGTTTTTTTTTGGCAGTCTAAAGTGTGAGGTTGAGGGGTTGGGTTTTTAGCTTGCTCAGCAAGCACAAGGCCCTGGGTTTGGTCCTCAGCTCTGGGGAGGAGGTGAAAAAAAAAAAAAAAGTGTGAGCTCGAAACAGTGCTCCATAAATGGATGCACTTGGGAGTGTGGAGAAGACTGGTGCAGGGAGGTGAGTGCAGGGCTTGTGCTGCTTTTGGCAGAATACATGGTTCATACCACACCTGTCTTCTCTGTACTATGGAAAGGTAGAGGTGCATGCACATGCTCTGCCGTGGGGTCTGCAGCACCCCCGGAGTCACTAGCCTCCTCTACTTGGTTCCCCAGCCCCCTGAAGTCTTATCACCCCTGGCTCCTCCCCTGCCCAGTCCTTCCTCACTATACTGCCTAAGCTGATCTCAAAGTCCTGGGCCCACAAAATCCTGCTTTGGCACTGAAGGCTGAGTGTAGTGAGGCCAGCCTAGGTGAGGGCATAGAACCTGTTTTATGAAGTACCCAAATCTGAAAACAGGAGAATGTTTCATCCATGGGTTTTAGCCACTGAATCTTGAAAATACTCAAAATGCAGAAAATTTCCAGTTATATGTAAAATAGTTCACTTCAATCCCACATATACTTCTGGGGGTCCCAGCACTGACTCAAGCCAATTCCCCCTTTAGGCTTCCGGGATACTGAAGGGACAGTGAGTCATCAAAGGCTGCATCCACCGCCCAGTGCCCTGAATTGGTGAGAGGCCCATGTGCCAGGGTGGTACACCTGAGCCAGTGGGTAAGGGCTAGCCTGGCCTGGGATGTGAAGACAATGTGCAGTCAAGCCTTATACAAAGCGCAAGTTTAAGAATCTTGAAATTAAGCTGGGCATGGTGGCACATGCCTTTAATCCCAGCACTCAGGAGGCAGAGGCAGGCAGATCTCTGAGTTCGAGGCCAGCCTGGTCTACAGTTCCAGGCCAGTTGGGGGCTACAGGGAGACCCTGTCTTTTGGCATATACCCAAAGAACTCATCCTATTGCAGAGACACTTGTACATCCATTTTTGTTGCTGCTTTTTTCACAATAGCTAAGAGATGGAAGCAACCTAAGTGTCCCTCAACTGACGAGTAGATAATGAAAATGTGGTTCATTTATACAATGGAGTCTAACTCAGCAGTAAAGAAAGATGAAATCATGAAAGTTGCAGGTAAATGGATGGAACTAGAAACTGTTATACTAAGTGAAGTAACACAGACTGAGAAAAACAAAATATGTTCTCCCTCATATGTGGATCCTAGCACCAAATCCTTTTAAGTGAGTATGTATCCAGACATAACTACAGGAACCAGGATAATGAAGAGGAACCAGGGAAGTAAAGGAAAAGAAAGAATCTGAAAGAGAGGAACAGTAGGAAACAGGCCTTAATAAGAGAGATATGGATAAAAATGGGGTTAGTTTAAGGGGAGGGGGAGGGAGGGTCATACAAGGAATGTTGGGGATAAAGGGAAAGAAGGAGCTCAAGAGAGGTTGGGCCACAGGAGAAGGGTATTATTAAGGGAGAAATGGGGGCACTTTAAATGGGGAAACCATGGTGGAAGGGATAGACAGTGAGAGAGATAAGTAATACCTAGCTAGTTTTTTAAAAAACCAGAGGGAACCACATTAGTCCAACAACCTTCTGACAAATTATACATAGAACTAGCTCAAGGAAAAAGGAGACAAAAAAAAAAATCTCAAAATTGATTCCCTTAAAAACTGCTGGTCTGCTCCCTGGGGAACCAGCCTACTCCCCCTGGTGGAAGGCAGTGAGTGCTAAAGTCAGATCCTCACCCCAGAGAGCTCCACAGACACCCAGAAAGTGTAACTCAGAGGGACTGGGTGAGAGAAGGCAGAGAGGAGCTTGCCGGGACTGACATCTGTCATGGTGACCTCCCACCTGTGGCTCCTCTGAGTGCCCGTCTCCAACACCCCCCATCCCCATCCCTCGGCTCATAGGGCAGTTCTCTGCATGTTCGGTCTCCACTCTCACCCACACTGTGGGCCAGGCTCACTGTGGTCAGAGCTGTGTCCCGTTGGCCCAGTAGTTGGGCCTAGCCCTGCTCAGAGCTCCGTGATGTCACTTGGTAGGTAGGTTGGCTTTGTCTTAGGTGGCAACGCTCCCTTGGTAGGTGGCTGATGCCTCAGGTTGAGGACATTTGTCTCAGACTTGCCCAAACCAGTTAAGGGTAAAGTTCACTCCCCAGCACAGCTGCCCAGTAGGGTCCCCTTGGCCCTCCCCAGATCCTGGTTTGGGATGAGCAAGGGCCCTTGCCTGGGTTAATGTACTCACTAGACACCCCCGCACACTCCTTTTTCTTGATGTTTTGAGTCAAGGTCTTTCCATGTAACCCAGGCCGGCGTAGACTTCCAGGCTGATCCTCCTGCCTCTGGTTCCAAGTGCTGCGATCACAGGTGAGCACCAGCAGGCCTGGCTTTAGTTTCCTTTTTATAACAGTTTGTAGAATTTTTAGAATAACACTTTGTAGTGCCATCCATTCACCCATTTCAAGTACAGAATGTATTGGCCTTTAGGAGAATACATCACCACAGTGCATAATACCACATGCAAGAATAAACCAATTGAGGGCTGAGAGCACGGTTGCTCTTGTAAAGGACCCAAATTCAGTTCCCAGCACTCACGTTGTGTGGCTCACAACCATTTGTAACTCTAGTTCCAGGGGATGTGACACCCTCTTCTGGCTTCCATGGGCACCCACATGTATATGGTGTGTACACATCCCACACACAATTAAAAGTAAATCCTGAAAAAACTAATTCAACAGGGAGAAAGCCCAGGAGAGGAAAGTGGCGTGGTCTGCCGTGGACACTGAGGCGGCCTGCGTGGCACTTCCAAACCTGACCACTCACCTGCTTACGTTCGCCGAGTGGCCGCAGTGCCTCCAGGTGTCTGAGCAGGCTGGGAGGACTTCCCTGAACTCAGCTGTGCCACACACCGCACACAGCTCCTTATCCTGTCTGGGTCCCAGCCAGCCGGCTGCCACTCACCCAGCCTCTTCCTTTTCTCACTTAGGTGTTCCACTGTGTCCACTTTGAGTGTCCGGAGCAGCAGATCAGCCAGAAGGAGGAGAACAGTGAGGAGCCAGGGGCAGGGGACCCCAGCCCCTCTAGTCAGCAACTCGACCCTCACGCCCTGCGGGCACCCAGTGTCAGCTCGCTGCCCCCAAGCCCAGGCCCCAACTCACGCTCACCCAACCATCAGCACCAATAAAGGAGGCAGAGGATGTGGTCTGACTTGGGTGGACCTCATGGAGCAGGCGTGTCTCCCAGGCTGGGACCTCAGTGGACTGCCCTCCTCATCCCTGGGAGGAGCAGGCCTGGCTACAAAAGCTACCCCAAAGCAGGTCTTCGCCCAGGGATCCCAGCGTGCCATGTTCTCCCCTATTCTTCAGGCCGTCACCAGGGGGAGAAAGTAGGTCTTCAGTCCTCATCAAGCCCTACCTCTAATCTAACCTGGGCACAGGGTGGAAGGAAGAGAAAGCCAGCCCAAGCCAGACCCCAGAAAGGCCTGAGCCTCCGACCCTGCTGGGCAGAGGGACCCTGGCTGCTGGGGCAGTGGACTTGGTAGAGTTCCCATCTGCAGTACCCATGGCCCTGGCTACTCATGGCTTTGTACTGCCAGGTTTTCTCCACCTCTGAGTCGTGGGGTACCAGGCTTGAACGCTGTCCCTCTCTTCCTCCGTCTTGAATGGATTCAGGTAGGATGGAGCAGCAGCTGTCAGGCTTCTGAATGAGATGCAGACACAGTTCATCCTGGCACCAGGCCTGACAAAGAAAATCCTGTGAGGAAGTTCAACCAGACGCACAGTGCACAAATCAGTCTGTGGACACTGGAGTTAATAATTGCTCAGATTGCTGAGTTATTAACCTGTCATTCCAGAAATGGAGCTGCCTTCCAGGTTGGGAGGCGGACGTGGAAACGGTTGTCATACCAGCTGCCAGTGTAACATTCAGGAACGTGTAGATAGATGCCTACCAGGTCCCAGCCGACCCTGCCCGGCCTCCTGAGCACAGGCCTCGGAGCCTGTAGTGAGTCTTCCGGCATCACACAACTGGATGGTGAGGAGCAGGTCTCAGGAGCTTTCCCCCTAACTACCACAGCTCCATCACACTCCCTCCTCCAGTAACTTCAATGCTGTGATGTTCTGGAGTCCTCTCATCTCCGAAGCTCTACAGGTTTGTCACCATCAGCACCGACCTGAGCCCCTCCCCTGCAGTGTGGGCCCTGTCCCTGCACTTCCTGTGAGCTTGCTTAGAGGAGGGGCAAGGCTTCAGATTTGTTCTGAAAGACATTAGCTGTGGACATAGAGGAACAGGTCCCTCACCTTCCTGTGTTTGACTTAGTTTAGAGCAGGCCACACCCTGAAGAGGTGGGTAACATGAGCCCTCAGGCTGCAGGGGAAGCGTCTTCCTGTGAGCAGAGGCCGAGGGTGGCAGCTGTCCTGGGGGAGACACTTTGCTCAGTAGTCCACAGCTCTGGCCCGACTTCTTTGCTGTGTGGCATGCCTGCCTGTCAGGAGTCTCCAATGGATGGATTACAGGAGTCACCACTGTCAGCATATCCCACCCCCAGGTAACTTGGAGAGCTTCCACTCGGCAGTGCAGTAGAGGAGCCCTGTCCCGCTGAGGGTGGAGTTTGTAGCTTTTGGAAGCTGTTTGAAGGCTGCTTGTTTTCATTTTGTTATTTGAGATGCAGCCTCATAACCCAGGCTGGCTGCAGACTCATGGTAATCCTCCTGCCTCAGAATCCTGAGTGCTGGGATTATAGATATGAGGTGGCACACCTGGCCTGAAGGGCTTCTTTGTAAACATGGAAGTTGTGGTAGCCCAGCGGGCAGCCCAGCATGGATGATGGGGCTGATCTGGCACAGGAGCCAGGGTGTCTACCCCAGAGCCTGCTGCGCACACCTCTCCCTGCCAGTCACCAGCACTCTGGCAGCCACACCTCCAGTCCGCCGAGGCCCCTGCAGAACATCACCCAGACCCACAACTGTGGCTTCCTCTCTTCAGACAATTTTGGGCATGTTCAGGGTGTTGTGGCTGTAGACCCTGCTCCCTTCCAGCACTGCCAAGGAGCCCTCCTTGGCATCAGGTACCTAGCAGTGATGAGAGACGGGACAGCAAGGTCATAGGTGCCAGCAGGGCCTTCTAAGACCCTAAGTCAGCTGGGCCCCTGCTGTGCCTGGCTTGGATGAACACCTGCTCAGGCCATGAGGACACGGAGCTGTTTACCTCCCACCAGACACATAGGCTCCCTTTAGCTGATGGGCCTTCAGATGCCTGGAGGCCGTTGTCACACCCACATCTAGGGTAAGGTCCACATCACTAGGGGACAGAGCTGAGCAAGCAAACCAAGAGAAAAGTCTCATGCAGACTGGAGTTCTCCAGAGCCTGGTCTGCCCCCTGGAGGCCCGTAGGACACAAGTGAAGCCGCCAGACTTCAAGTACTGATGGTTCCTGCGCACCTAATAGCCCTGCAGCACGAGATGGGGGCTGATTCTGGGGAAACTGGGTGCCAGGAGGATCCATCCAGGGGCCTGTGGTTACCATCACAAATGCCTCCCAGCTGGCTCTGGCCCTCAGGTCAACTGGGTCGCTGCAGAGCCTCCTGCGCTACGTTTTGATCATGTTCTTTGGGGGACAAAATGACATCTTCATTGGGGTTTCTGTGAGTGCCTCATGTTATCTGTGGCAGCTCCTGTGGTGTTACTGAACAGGGCAGGTGGCGTTGAAGTCCAGTGCTGTCCCCCAGGCTGGAGCACACCTCACACTGAAGAGTTGGCGTTTACCAAATCCTCAGTACTTCTGGTTTGACTTTAGGGCCGTGAGCCTATGATGGGTGGGGGCTCTTCCCAACTGTTCTTTAAAATGTCACTTTTCAATCTTATTAAATGAAGTTTCGACTCCTGACAAATGCATTAAAAGTGTTTTATTCCTAGAAGAGTCGGGAAAGGAATTATTTTCAGCAAGAGTGGGATGTGTTTGTTAGACTGATGCCTTGGCCCCCAAAAATGAGTTTTGAATTGTGCAAAAAATTGCTCAGTAGTTAGGCTGTCACCCCAATTGTTAGACTTCTGGGTACACGCGCCGACCTAGTCAGCTTTCCCTTCTTCTTAATTTAGAAGATAACAGAATTACGATCATTTAGCTTTATCCCAAGCCAAGGGGAGAAAAGAGGTGTAAACTACGATCAAAGCGTAACTGTATGTGTCAGGAAGGGGGTCCAGTGTCCCTCATGCCAGGAGCTGTTCCTCAGGGTTTACTTCTGTGCTACTCCTGTCCTTGGCCCCATGTGGTGACTGGAGCCTCAGAAGGGTGCTGAGGGGGTGGGCCGCTGGAGCAGGCAGACCTGCCCTCCATGGCGGCCGGGCCACCGTGGGTCAGGGGCGCACTGGGCACTCTGTGGTTACCTTGTGCAGCGTTGATGCCGTGTTTGTCCCAACAGCAGCACATGGAAGGTCAGCCCTCATCAGTAGCCCTGGGAACTTAAAACGCCTGCACCACCAGCTGTGACTGGCTCAGAGCAGTGTCTGGGATCTGCTGGGGGTTCTTTGAGGGGTGGTGGAGGGGGGCGTGGAGACAGCTGTGGGCCACTGGAGTGCATGGAGCTCTCCCACGGACGAGGACATGAACATCCCTTGCACTGGGTAGGTCAGAGGTGGGGGCTGTTAGTGGAGAATGGATATTTTGAGGGGCTGCGTGGAGCTAGACAGGGAGGGAGGGAGGAAGGGAGGACAGCCTGTGTGGAGGAAGGACGCCCTGTGCCTGGCCACAGATGGCACTCCCAGATCCCAGCTGCTCAGCACTCTGCACCTCTCAGTCTCACGGGGATAACAGGTAGAGGACGGAACACAGGCGGCCTGGAGGAGCAGGCACCTGTTTGGAAATCCCTGCTCCATGAACTTGATACTCAAGTTTTCTGCGAGGTTTCAAAGTGTGAGGCAGAGCTGCTTCTGCCTGAACCACTCTTGACCTGGGCCCATGGCATCACCTCCCTCTGGTGCCGCACTCCTCTGCTGTCCCCAGTCCTTCCACACCACACCAGCTAGCAGTACCCGCCAGAAACCAGGCTGGGCAGGCCATCTGGCCAGATAGCTTCTTCCTCTTAAACACAGAACTAAACTCTTCCCCCCAGAGACCCGAAAACACAATCATCTCCCTGTAATTTATGAGAAACGTCTGGGAGCATTTGCATCCAGGAGTTTTTGTAGCCTGGGCAGGGAAGGCAGAGGTGGCGGGTGTGTGGGAGTGGAGGTGGCTGGTTGCTGGGATCCGCACACCTGTCCTCCATTGTCTACAGCCTCCATTGTCTCAAGGGCAGGGATGTGGCTCTTCCACCTCGGAGGTGGCAAAGCTGGGGTCCCAGCCCATGGGGGAGGCTAGCCAACTTAGCCCACGAAGGCTGCAGAGGCCTGCAGGTGGGTGTGATCCTCACCATCTTGTGAGCCCCACGGTTTATGGGTGACGACACAAAGGTGACCACCTCTATGGTCCCACCACAGCTCCTGCTTCTGACTGGTGTTCCATCCTCTCTTTGGGAGTCTGCGTGGAGATAGCACCCAGCCCAGATGTCACAGGGACAGTTCCTGTGACATAGGAACTGGGACAACTCTGGGCCTCAGAGTGGCCTCCTAGGGTACCATGCTACCCTGAGAAACCGCAAGCAAGCTCCCCCTTACACTGTCCTGACTGGTGTCCCCATGGCCACTCCATGCCCATCCTCACGGTCTGCAAAAGCAAGAGGACTGTGGGCTGTGCCTCCAGTGGGGGGAGGGGGACAGCTCCTTAAGGGCGGCCATGGGCTGGGCCCACCAGCCACTTATATCAAATTTGTGATTTGTGTAGACCGATTCCCCAGGGAATGTGAGCCACCTCCGCTCTGCTGACTGGATTTTTGGGCCTATGAAAGTTGTGGGTGCCGTCCCCATTCCCCTCCCAGGTGGGACAGTGTGGGCCAGGCTAGCCCTGGGCACAGTTCTCTGTGAAAGCCCCCAGACCAACATCACTAGAATGTGTTCTCTATGAGCATGGTGCGGAGTCCTCAGTTTTGCAAGCTGTGTTACTGGGACTCAGTTGATGTACATGGAATACCATAGGCTTGCTGTAGAAATAAAGTGATGACTTCCTGCACCTGTGGTCCTGCCTCACTTTCTCCACAGCCAGCTCCTGCAGACCAACATCACTAGAATGTGTTCTCTATGAGCATGGTGCGGAGTCCTCAGTTTTGCAAGCTGTGTTACTGGGACTCAGTTGATGTACATGGAATACCATAGGCTTGCTGTAGACTTCCTGCACCTGTGGTCCTGCCTCACTTTCTCCACAGCCAGCTCCTGCAGTGCCCCCCCACCCCCAGCCCAGGTCCTCCCACCACTGTCAGCATATCCCACCCCCAGGTAACTTGGAGAGCTTCCACTCGGCAGTGCAGTAGAGGAGCCCTGTCCCGCTGAGGGTGGAGTTTGTAGCTTTTGGAAGCTGTTTGAAGGCTGCTTGTTTTCATTTTGTTATTTGAGATGCAGCCTCATAACCCAGGCTGGCTGCAGACTCATGGTAATCCTCCTGCCTCAGAATCCTGAGTGCTGGGATTATAGATATGAGGTGGCACACCTGGCCTGAAGGGCTTCTTTGTAAACATGGAAGTTGTGGTAGCCCAGCGGGCAGCCCAGCATGGATGATGGGGCTGATCTGGCACAGGAGCCAGGGTGTCTACCCCAGAGCCTGCTGCGCACACCTCTCCCTGCCAGTCACCAGCACTCTGGCAGCCACACCTCCAGTCCGCCGAGGCCCCTGCAGAACATCACCCAGACCCACAACTGTGGCTTCCTCTCTTCAGACAATTTTGGGCATGTTCAGGGTGTTGTGGCTGTAGACCCTGCTCCCTTCCAGCACTGCCAAGGAGCCCTCCTTGGCATCAGGTACCTAGCAGTGATGAGAGACGGGACAGCAAGGTCATAGGTGCCAGCAGGGCCTTCTAAGACCCTAAGTCAGCTGGGCCCCTGCTGTGCCTGGCTTGGATGAACACCTGCTCAGGCCATGAGGACACGGAGCTGTTTACCTCCCACCAGACACATAGGCTCCCTTTAGCTGATGGGCCTTCAGATGCCTGGAGGCCGTTGTCACACCCACATCTAGGGTAAGGTCCACATCACTAGGGGACAGAGCTGAGCAAGCAAACCAAGAGAAAAGTCTCATGCAGACTGGAGTTCTCCAGAGCCTGGTCTGCCCCCTGGAGGCCCGTAGGACACAAGTGAAGCCGCCAGACTTCAAGTACTGATGGTTCCTGCGCACCTAATAGCCCTGCAGCACGAGATGGGGGCTGATTCTGGGGAAACTGGGTGCCAGGAGGATCCATCCAGGGGCCTGTGGTTACCATCACAAATGCCTCCCAGCTGGCTCTGGCCCTCAGGTCAACTGGGTCGCTGCAGAGCCTCCTGCGCTACGTTTTGATCATGTTCTTTGGGGGACAAAATGACATCTTCATTGGGGTTTCTGTGAGTGCCTCATGTTATCTGTGGCAGCTCCTGTGGTGTTACTGAACAGGGCAGGTGGCGTTGAAGTCCAGTGCTGTCCCCCAGGCTGGAGCACACCTCACACTGAAGAGTTGGCGTTTACCAAATCCTCAGTACTTCTGGTTTGACTTTAGGGCCGTGAGCCTATGATGGGTGGGGGCTCTTCCCAACTGTTCTTTAAAATGTCACTTTTCAATCTTATTAAATGAAGTTTCGACTCCTGACAAATGCATTAAAAGTGTTTTATTCCTAGAAGAGTCGGGAAAGGAATTATTTTCAGCAAGAGTGGGATGTGTTTGTTAGACTGATGCCTTGGCCCCCAAAAATGAGTTTTGAATTGTGCAAAAAATTGCTCAGTAGTTAGGCTGTCACCCCAATTGTTAGACTTCTGGGTACACGCGCCGACCTAGTCAGCTTTCCCTTCTTAATTTAGAAGATAACAGAATTACGATCATTTAGCTTTATCCCAAGCCAAGGGGAGAAAAGAGGTGTAAACTACGATCAAAGCGTAACTGTATGTGTCAGGAAGGGGGTCCAGTGTCCCTCATGCCAGGAGCTGTTCCTCAGGGTTTACTTCTGTGCTACTCCTGTCCTTGGCCCCATGTGGTGACTGGAGCCTCAGAAGGGTGCTGAGGGGGTGGGCCGCTGGAGCAGGCAGACCTGCCCTCCATGGCGGCCGGGCCACCGTGGGTCAGGGGCGCACTGGGCACTCTGTGGTTACCTTGTGCAGCGTTGATGCCGTGTTTGTCCCAACAGCAGCACATGGAAGGTCAGCCCTCATCAGTAGCCCTGGGAACTTAAAACGCCTGCACCACCAGCTGTGACTGGCTCAGAGCAGTGTCTGGGATCTGCTGGGGGTTCTTTGAGGGGTGGTGGAGGGGGGCGTGGAGACAGCTGTGGGCCACTGGAGTGCATGGAGCTCTCCCACGGACGAGGACATGAACATCCCTTGCACTGGGTAGGTCAGAGGTGGGGGCTGTTAGTGGAGAATGGATATTTTGAGGGGCTGCGTGGAGCTAGACAGGGAGGGAGGGAGGGAGGGAGGACAGCCTGTGTGGAGGAAGGACGCCCTGTGCCTGGCCACAGATGGCACTCCCAGATCCCAGCTGCTCAGCACTCTGCACCTCTCAGTCTCACGGGGATAACAGGTAGAGGACGGAACACAGGCGGCCTGGAGGAGCAGGCACCTGTTTGGAAATCCCTGCTCCATGAACTTGATACTCAAGTTTTCTGCGAGGTTTCAAAGTGTGAGGCAGAGCTGCTTCTGCCTGAACCACTCTTGACCTGGGCCCATGGCATCACCTCCCTCTGGTGCCGCACTCCTCTGCTGTCCCCAGTCCTTCCACACCACACCAGCTAGCAGTACCCGCCAGAAACCAGGCTGGGCAGGCCATCTGGCCA